GTGGAAGGTGATACCCGTGAAAAAAGGCTGCTCCAGCAGAACAGGGCTAAGGCCAGGTGAAGCGCTTTGGACTGGCCTTGCCCCATACGGGGTTTGTTTTAGCTCAGTTTACCAGTGTCCAGAGCGGGTAGCCTGATCTTTCCCATGCCCCGTCACTCTGGGACGGGCGCGTACCAGGAAACATGCTGCGCATGGCGGGAATTCTGGGAGGAAGTGAGGATTCCACTGAGTGTCCCTCACTCCTTTTTCCCATCCACGCTTACTCTCATTCCCTTTTTTAAATGCTTTTGGCTCTCTAGAAGCCTTCCCCTGTTCTCTCTCGTCCTCTCTCTGGTGAGTCAGCAGGTGTTGTATTGTTGTAAAAGGGTCAGAGTGTGAACCCCCTGCATCCTCAACCCGGAGAAGAGCAGATCTTCTGTGTTGATAACCCAGCTGTTTGGAGCAGTATGTTTCTGTGTGTGTGTGTGTGTGTGTGTGTGTTTCTTTTACATTTTCTGGACAAGATGTCCTGACTATGTCATAACACCAGAGAAAATAGGCTAACTTATAAAGTAGGAGTGGGTAATATGGTAAAAATATTATCTCATGATACTTCAGGACATTTTCAAGATACACAATATGCATCACAGTATTTCTTTTTTCTGAAATGTAATAAATTGGAACAGATAAAAAAGAACCTATATTGCCACATATATAAAATACCATAATAATAGTAATAAATCTACAACTACACTGATTTTTACTCAATGTTTTAGAAATGTGCAAAATCCAATTAAACTGGCGTATTTGTGCTCACTTTGTAATGAAATGTGCGGTTTGTCAGTGTTCTTTAATCACTACATGATATGAAAAGTATTTTGTAACATAATTTATCACAGTAATGATAAAATATCGCATTTCCTACCTTTACTATAATATCAAGATCAACAAAAAGATTCTGACTTTGTAAAGTGGTTTTTACAAAAGCTCTGAAAGAGTAAAATATTTATTTTTGGTTACTGAGGTAAGGTTTAGATTAGAGGTTTGGCTTAACATACATATAGTCTTAGGCAACCAAGCCCCTTGTTTAGAAGTATTTTTCTTAGCGGTGTGGTTTTGCCATTAAAAACACAACATAACATTGAATAAACACAAATAAACATAAATAGTGTAAAAACAGTATCTTCTGAGCTGGTCAGAAGAACACAAGTTAGGTTCCCGACTTTTCCGCAAGAATAGGTTTGGAATTGGTAAACACTGATCTACATAGAATCACTACTTGGTGTATTAATGTTTGTATTTATGTTTTTTTTGTATAATGTTTTTGTGAGCAAAAAACAGAGATGGTCTAAAATGACTGTGAATAAAATCTTGTTACATTTAACTTAAATTAAAAGTTAAGAATATTTTCTTGTAAAAGTATTTGTTCTCACAACAACATGCAAAGGTCTTAGGCCAACTGTGAAAAATGATGTGTACAGCTGTTTATAAATAACCATTTCCAGAGTTCTCCTCAAGGTAGTCCAGTATTTACAGTTAACATCCAATACCTAGTTTATCTAATCAGTCCTTCAGGTGCTGCTGATGGAATTAGACAAATCAGTGCAATGGCTGCAGTGCAGTGAGAAGTCAGGAACCAAACTGATGTTCTTCTAACCAACATATCAATTCATGTTTTGAAAATAAGTACATATTATGTTTAACTGTGTGTATGTTTATTTGTATTAATGCTTATGGAATCCTTTATTTGCAAAACACACTTACTGCCAAGTTCTGAACAGTTTTCTTGCCAGCCTAAGATTTTGTACAGTAATTCACATGTGGATATCCTCACTGTCAGGAATAGATTGTGTATATACAAAATGGATGCCCAGCTTATTTTAGTTATCATCTAATATCTGATTTGGCATCAGTGCTTCTTTCAGTTGAATCAAGAGAGCTGATGATGGAATTTGCATTGATGTATGTTTGTATTAATTCTATTGTTAAAAACATATCGACAAGCAAAACATATTTATTTCCCAGATAAATGATTTTAAACAATTTGCTCAAGTACAAATCATTTCTGTGCCTGTATTACATTCAGTATATTAGTTAGGCACTAGAACACACACTGTATCATTTTGCCAGTTTCTGTGAAGACTTGTGCGTGTAATCCTTTCTTCACGGATGGCACCCCTCAAGCCCAACTCCCCCCTTACTGTGTGGAACATTAATGGCTGTATTATGTCTGCTTTGCTCACACTCATTGAAGCAGTCACTGTACTGTTTTTTGGACGTAAAGGTTACTGTACAGTAGTAAATCTGTGATTTACTAAGAAAACAGATCAAATTAAGATGAGTCACACTTGCATGTTATTAAAACTTGGGTGGAAGGCCTCAGCATACAGTCTTGCCAAAACATATTATTTACCTCATTTGCACAATTTCTGTCAGAACAGGCTGAAGCCCAAATATTAAGAAAGAAAAATAAATAGTATCAGGCATCTCAAAACCCCTTTCATTTCAGTTATGATGCAGAATTAACTAGTTCACATACATGTTCAGTCAAAATAAACAAAATAAAGGTTCAAGAAAAAGCAAATCAGCAGATCTTCTCTCTTCTTAGACTTCAACCCCTCCGCCCCCACCTCTTCCCCTTTTTTCATTACCCTTTCAGCTGCTGTGCTTTGGAGAGCAGTCACTCTCTCTGATGCTTTGGCCCTGCTGTTGCTGACATTGCTCATGGCTAGAGCCTCTGTCTGTGGCACTCTGCTGTCAGATCAGGGGCCACGGTGGCCTGACCTGGCCAGATTGATTAGCCCTGAGGAAGGGGGTGTTTGAGTGGGAGTGAGTGAGAGGAACAGTCTTCTGCTTGTGTTCAAGTCAAAGCTCAAACTCAACCACTTCTGAAGTGCGTTCACACCTGATAGTGCTACTTTCCTTTGAGATTTGTCTTTAGCTTGGTGGACCAGGCTTTGGCTACGCTAGAAAGCCTGAAAGAGGTTATATTCATTTTTATATTAGATGTACTTGCATTTCAGAAAGCAAGCTTTTGGTAGTGTTGTCAATTTATGTAAAGGTAAGTCATTTTGCCTAAGGGATTTAATAGTTTGAATCCTTATCTGTTCATGTAAGTATTTGCTTAAATGGTTTGCTTCGCCAGTAAATGGTCCGTCGGACTATTTGTCATGAATTGTTCACAGAATATAAAGGACAAGTGTTGGAGCCAATAAGATGTACTTTAATAAATCTAAAACAGTATACACTTTTAAAAATGAAGGTTCGTTATTGAAACACAAGCACCCACATGTTGTGTGCAACTGCAAGTGGGAGCGTTGTACGCCATGTGTTTCAGAACTGTAGAACTGTAAATGCTTGTGTGTACAGTTCTAGGTAAAAGCCTTAATTGGTATAGAACCATTACAATTGGTAGATTTTTTTCAACTTTAAGAAGGTTCTTTACACTCTGCACAATCTGCATATCTTAATTACAAACAATGGTTCTTTAGAGAACCATATGTTGGATGATTCTTTAAAGAACCAAAAGTGGTTCTACAACATCGCTCCAAAGCTTTTAGGCACCAAAAATAAAAACTACAGAAATGCTCCAAACTTGCAACCGTGACAATGGAAATACTGGTTTAGCTACTGTCTTCATGTAATCTAGAAAATAGTAAAGACTAAAGAGAGGTCATAGGTAAAGGTAGGAGAGGTAGCAGGTCTAAGACATGAAAACAGGTCTAATAACACCAAAACCCCCTCCCTCCCCCACCATATTATTTTCCACTAACAGTTTGCATTGTCACAGGGCGTACAACGCTCCCACTTGCAGTTGCACACAACATGGGGGTAGTTGTGTTTCAGGTATAAGAACAGCAGTGTAGTGACTTGTTCCTGTCCGCCATTATTCATCGAGCTGCTGGCTTGTCACAGTGCCTGTGGTTTTCTGCCAAATTATGCCAGGTTAGAAAAGCAGGTCAACACATTGTTCTCTTCCAGGAACATAATCTCACCAAGCAGGTTTATGCAAACAGCCATTGTTGTCTGTGTGACAGAATTCTATTTATGTAAACCTCAGGTGCCTTGAGCAATGCCGCCTGTTACCATTTTTGTTACTGTAATTCCTTATAGAAGGTAAATAAGGTCATGAACTTTTTGTTTGCCCTAAACAGGTCCTTAGGTTCAGCTCTTTCCGAAGTGAGTGTGTGCAGACATGGACAGAAGAAGTATTGAAATGCCCAAAATATCTGAGAATAATGCAACTGTAGTGATAAGTGCCTTGAACAGAAGTATTACTAAAGGAAATATCTATAAATGAAATGAAGTAAGAGTAAATAAGAAAGAAAGGTTCGATGCTCAAGGTTTTACTAGGTTTTTTGGTTATCTAAGCTTACCATTAGCATATCTTGAATGTTTGTGTACACTAGCTAAATTAGCTAGAAGGGATGGGCAATATGACAATGTTTATCATTTTACCGATACATTATAGCACAATATGCTTTTCTGAATATATTGTGGATATCGTCAGTGCTTATGAACACCAACTGTATGTTTCATTACAAAGAGCATATTTAATGCTGTTCAGTTGGTTTTCATGCAGTGCAATGTGCAATATGTTGGGTAAAAATCTTTGTACTCATTGTATCTGATAGTTCCACTTCCCCATTTCCAAATGATGAAACCTCAGAAAAGTTATAGCGTGATAAATATCTTGTATTGTGAAAATGTCTTTAAGCATATATTTTTGCCTTATTACCCCCCTATTAGCTAGCAGATACTCTAATGTATAAGTGAAAGCTTCAGGTTTAATAACAAGCCTTAATCCTTGTTATTCTAAAACAACTAAGTAAAAAGAGCACACAAGCCCTCAGTAGCTAAGATTAGTTGACCTGCCAGGTAATTGAGTTGTGAAAAGCACAAAAATGAAATAAAGTTCAAGAAAATTTACTGTGGAAGAAAACTACCATGGAAAATGTACTGTAATGTGTGTAGCGCTGTGTGGGCTGCCTTTTCACTGATGGCCTGTATTGTTTCCTCAGGAAAGCTGATGGCAAGGAGCTGAGAGCAGGAGAGAGGAAAAGGAAAAAAAACAACAACCCGTCTTCAGTGCCAGGTTAGATTTATCGTTACACGTGGCGTCTGTCATTTTTCCGTTCCAATACATTTGCTCTTTATTATCAACGAATGTTCCAGAAGTTATTTTTCATCTTTCCTCTCGTACATGTTATTCCCAGGGGTGCTACATAACAGATTCAACATATTACAGCATGTGAGTATTTCATACTTTTGCTGTTGTGTTTGTGGACGAACAGAATTCATGTGTAAGTCAAATTGAAAGAGAATTTAGTAGGATCAAAATGGAATTGACATGAAATGCTGAGTCTCTAACATTAGTACTCAATGATTTTCTATGTTTTCTAGTGCAGCTGTGCCAAGTACGAGTGATGGCTGCTTACGGACAGACACAGTACAGCCCTGCTATACAGCCCGCGGGCCCCTACACACCATACACACATCACACCCAGAGCTACAGCATGCCCTCCTACAGTGAGTACTGCCTAATGTCTACTGTTCTTTCTCAGATACAGGCTATTACATGTTAGTTGGTCAGAAACTTTTTTTGTGAATGGCAAAGTTTTACCACCTGGATTTGACTTTCAGGGACATTTGTGGCCTTTCATTAGGTTATTTAAAGAATAGTTATTAATCATAATCCAGTTATCCCAAACACTTTAATTAAATCATTTAATTGAAATTATTCAATTGACTTTAAATCAGTGGCTGCTATAAAAAAACAGTGTACAATACACCCTAACTGCTATACCGAAATACATTATTATTTTTATTTATTTAGTTTTTTAATAAAACATGCTGTTTCTCACTCTCAAGCTTATGAAAATTCACCTCAGTATCAGCGATCTATTGGAAGATCCATTTTTTGCCCCTTTACTTTCAAGTTTTAGGGCACTTTTGCATCTTTTAGAGACATTTTGCTCTGAACCCTCATTATTGTCTGACCCCTTGGCATATTAAATGAGAATTCAACCAATTTTTTCGAAACTTCTACATAATTCAATATTTAACACGTAAACAAGTCATCAGTGGTGGACAAATCATGTACTTGAGTTAAAGTAGAGATATCCAAGATAAAATATTACTCCAGTAAAAGTCCCCCCCTTTAGACCTCCACTTGAGTAAAAGTACAAAAGCATTTGCCTTCAAATGTGCTTAAGTATCGAAAGTAAAAGTACTTAAAGATGAATTATGTCCTATTATGATTTTTGTAACAAGACTCTTGCTTCATTAACTCATTTTAGGTGAAAATACTCCAGTGTCACTCTTGGTAAACCAGTCTTTTAATAGAATGTCATTAGTCTGTCACTGATGTCTATTAAAAGTATCATAAGAACAAAACACTGAAGGCAAACAATTTCCATTAGGTAGAACTGAGTGGCTCTGAAATACCTTTTTGCAAACAAGCAAAGTTTCAGTTTAAGATTTATTTACAACTTAGTTACAAGTTTAAATTTAATAAAAACTTTAAACATAGGTTCACAAATGAGTTTTCCCTTAACTATATTGCATCTGTAGGTCTCTGTTCATAAACAAAAACTAGCAAAAAACAAATTTAATATAAAATGAAACAGTGTTTGCATAAATTCAGAAAAAAGAACCATGCCAGTCAGAACTGCATATGTGTACATATTTCTATATTTTGGTCTGTTTACACAAAGTTAGGTTAGTTCCATCATTTATGTTGGAATAGACACTCCCAAAATTTTACGGTGCTGCACTGACGTTGAACCGTATGCTTGCACCAGGTCGGTATGTCCAACAGGTCAAAACAAGCTCAAACAAAGTGCGCGCTGTGCCCTGATTGGTGTGCTTCCTTCATGCTTCTTTTGTTTTGACGTTACATTTTTATACACATATAAGCCAAAAGGAACGACAGATTTCACATAATGTAGTGGAGTAAAAAGTAAGATATTTGACTTTGAAATGGAGTGAAAGTAAAAAGTCACCCAAAATGGAAATACTTCAGTAAAGTACAGATACACGAAAAAAACTACTTAAGTACAGTAACGAATTACATTTACTTAGTTACTGTCCCCCATTGCAAGTCATTCAGATAAAGTCATTGTAGTGATATTTACTGATTCAGATTTCTTTACAGTGGTGATGATAGGATCCAGATATAAATAGTCATATAGTCAATTAAAATAATTTCCTTTACTATTCAAAACAACCAGCGAACATATACATGTCTTTTGAGTTTTCTTATGTAATTCTGATGATGGTAAAAAAAGTGGTAAATCTGAAAAAGTAAGTTTTATTTGGGGATTGTTTTGTCTTGCAACACCCTGCGTGTAGCTCTCTTCAACAAAAATTTTTTTGGGCCAAAACTTTATCTAACTTATCAAAACTATTGTGAAACAATGTCTCAGGCATCATATTCATACCTATTTCATGTAATAGCTTTCTGTGAGGCATTAAATGCTTCAGATGTCTGGTTTCTATCACAAACACTGTGAATGATTCTGGCTCAGGTCAGTTCTTTATAACGGATCATTTCACATCGAACCACTGTGAATGACTTTATATCTTTTTAAGCATCTAATTATCCAGAATTTTTGAATGGTGAAATTCCCCTTGGTACGTCAGTGGTACGTGTTCTGTACCACTGTGGGGATCAATTTGATAAACTTGTGTTTTGTTTTCAAACATAACTGATTAGGAAGTTTCATTTTATCAATAGGGGCTGTTTAGGAAACTATACGCTCCTCTGGAAGATTGTTGATAGTGTGTCCTTGGCTTCACAGGAACAGTTTGCCCAAACATGCTAACATGGCTAATACTGAAGGGAGGGTGGGAGGCATCAACTATGATTGTTGGCAGCCATTCACTTTCATTTCTTGTTAGCTGAGTTAGCTATTTTGACTTAACTATAGCTTAAGGTACATGATGCCTCTTTCTATGGAAAAATTGAGTGATTTTCTTCTTTTTTTGTTTAGACATTAAAACAGAAGATGGCTTGAGTCATTCACCTGGACAGAGCAGTCTGCTTGGCTATACATCCAATTTCAGCAGCACGCCTCCCAGCCAGGCCCTTTACAGTTACTCCACACATGGTCAGTCTTACAATCAACAAGCTTTCTTTTGCTTGTCTGATCTTTACATGGTGCCCTAGCGTACTTAACGAGGCCTCTAGCCACTCTCTCCACGTATATGCACACTCGTATAAGCAAAAATACAGTCATGTGCGCACACACAGACACGCAAACACCCACACTGTAGTTCTTGGCAGTAATAAAAGCTGTTTGGTAGGTGGTTTGTGAGGTCCGAGCCCACCCCCCCCACATCCACCACCGCACATACATTTCCAGGTGCTGGCTATGGCCCATCCTGGCTACTCTCTCTCGCTCACTCTCTCATTCTTTTTCTGTCTCTCTCACCCCCCCTCCACACCTGTTCCCCATTAGCTGCGGTCTGGGGCCCTGGCGTCAGCCGTCTCTCTCTCCTCTCTCAGGGGGTCAAGCCCTTCTGCAGCTCCCCACACAACATGCGGCCCATTGGTGGAGCATGTTTGTGTGGGTGTGAGTGGCACAGGCTTTAGCATCACCCCAACACCCCAAAAACCTCAACGCCCCCAAACCCTCCACCCAGCCAGTCCACAGGCGCCCACCGCTAGCCTCAGCCCAGCAAGTTTTATGGCTGTAGTCACACCGTGAAATTGACCTCTCTCTGCCAAGGTCAGAGTTGATGGGTTATTAGGGATGTTTTCATTCTTTAAGAGCTGCTCAAAGTGGTCATTCTGGAGATGAGGACACAGGGTCTTTTAAATAATAATTATTTTTTAATTATTCTGGTACTGAATATGATTTATTACACAAAGCCTTACTGTAATTTCTAGGGGTCCTCATTTACTGTAATAAACTGTACTCTGATGTAAAAGATGGCTTTCTAATAGGTCTGGGGAAATGTGGTTGTTATGCCTCAAGTTCTATCTCGCTAGTTTTTGTGTGATTTATAGGAAAATTTCAACAGGAGACCTGCTGTAGCGTAAAATAAATAACCCGTCTCTGCGTGTCAAAGGTCCCTGCGTTTCACTGCTGTGGAGAAAATCAGAAACATGGCCCAAACTCTCCCCTTCCTCTCTTCTTTCCCCTTTTGAAGCCCTTTTGTTTGCTTCCTCTGAGATTTCTCTGAGCTTTGGCACAGTCATTCATCTAGGGCAGGTCTGAAAAAGGGAATGCGGAGACAGGAGAGAGAGCAAGGGGTAGAGAAAGGGAGGGACGGAGCCTGGAGCATAGCATTCCCTCTCCATGTCTGATAGCAGTGATGGATTCTCTTTCTTGTGTACGCCACACTTTCCCACCTGTATTGTTTTTTTAGCCATAAATCAGTCACACTTCCTCCAGACAGTCAGTGCTATACACATCTATATTTTGCTAACAGCCATTCCGAAACCGCCTCTGGTTGCATTTCTGTTGCATCGCCTTGTTTGTGTTGGAGATGTGTCTCGCAGGGAATGTGTAAGAGTGAGCCTTATGCCACAGTCAGCTATGAGTGTTCTTTTAAAGGCTGGCTATGTGCTCCTTTTCCAGGCGGCAGTATTTCGTCTGGAATTTTCCAGGGAACCAATGCCATCGCAGGCTCAACGCCGTTCAGTCCCACACAGCAGGTGAGAGGGTCAAATAAGGAAGCACACTGCATGGAGCATCATACAGCATCTTATAGCCACCTGTGAATTAGACCATATAATTCTTAATTGAAAAAAAAAACGTGGCAATGTTAATAGATATCTTATTCTATGAATAATCATTCTTTCCATCAGGATTTCTCAGCGTATTCCAGTTACGGCCAAAGCCAGTACTCGCCATACTATAACACACACTACAACAACCCCTACCTCACAAGCAGTAATATCAGTCCATCAGCCATCACCACGGCAATACCCTATCAGCATCCAGAACACCCTCCTGTAACAACCAGTCACAGCCCGGAGTCCCACCCAGGTAAATGTCTATGCTTTGTCTGAAGATAAGCCTTAATAAATAAAAACTTTAGTTTTACATGTTCAGCCATACAATAATACAAATTGGTGATGCAGAAAAATGAGAAGTCTTGGCCAAAACCAAAACTTAGGATTAGGAACTTAGGGTAATGAAGAGAAAACACATTAATGGTTAATAAAATAATTACAGGAAGTACAGAATGTGTCTATTAAATCCAATGTCCTTGGCAACAGAGAATGGTTGGTCATTCACATCAGTGAATTCCTGTTTTTTTTAGTTATACTTTGCAACTTTTTCATCACTTCAAAAACCAGCTACATGTTATGTCTGTGTGCTCGCAGGAACTTTCCATTTTGCATCTGTTGTTTTGCTGTGTTCTGTATATTGTGTGTGTTTGCAAATGGTATCAAACCTGTACTGGAAAAGTTTTTGGCCACTGTATCCCCACTTGAACCTTGGTTTGATTGATTGCATATCGCTTGTCCAATATTCCTTGTGAAACAGATCCCAGCCAACATTTTCACTGTTTATCTACTGCTGCTCAAACTGAGTGCCTCTGTGCTGACCAGCATCAGAAAGCAAAGGAAACAGACAGCAATTTTAATCACTATTTCTAATGTTTATTAGCACTTAAGTTCTTTGTTGAAGATTTGGACACTTCATTGTAGATCGGTTTAATTTAGTTTCTTCTTTAGTTTAGTATTCTTTTTTTTTTTTCATCCAAAAACTGAAAGTGCCACTTTAAGCCATTTTCGGCTGAAAATTTTTGGTGATCGAAATTTCGTTGAATTACAAATGCAAATTAATTTGTTCTATGTATAAGAATAAACTATGAAAAAAATAAACTTGAAAATCTAGCCCTGATGGGTGCCTGATCATAAAAGAAAGCAAATATAATTATGCCACTGTAAGAAGATCCAAGCAGTCTACACACTGCTATCCGTAAGACGCACACTGGCATTATTGAGCGTTGTTGCTAGCACAGCACATAAGCAGCTCTCAATGTGGTTTACTGGAGTTCATACAGACTCTTAAGTTCTAGCCACACCCTTGTTTCAAAAAGCCCCATTTAAAAAAGTCCCCTGCAAGAGCATGGCATAACTGGAACCACAGGAGTATGCCTGTAGTCCTTGCTGAGCTACGAACAATGAGTTACCTTGTATTTACAATGAAGCTACAGCAGATAGGAAGTATGTGGCTAAGTTAAATAATGATAAAGTCATATTTACTTAAAAATAGGGGAAAAAGCACAGTTGACAAAACCACACAACTTCAGGAGAGGCATGAAATCAGTCCTGTATTCATTTTCAATAGACAACAATAAAGCAGTGTTGAGGTTCAGCAGTAAATAGAGTGGCTTGGCTGACAACTGTAATTTTTTCAGAAATACTTTGTATGGAGTGCAGAGAAATAACAACACGTAAGAGTCTAGCAACCATGTTACGTGGAAATCAAAGGACTGTTAACAATTTCATTATATTGTGTTCGAAAATAGGTCTTGAGGATAATACTGTATGTTTGTGTATGTGAAACAGTGGAGTACCATGCCCCCCCTAGCCCCCCAACCCCAGGAAAGGAGCAGGAAGGAGCTCCAGCCAGAAGGGGGTCGGATGGAAAGCTACGGGGGAGGAAAAGGGCCAATGACCCTGCACCTCCACTGGACTCAGACATTGAGGTACATACTGTTCTTTGGTCTCTTTTACACCACTGAGAGCACAGCTACTATTAAAACACACCTACACTACAATGCAAAAAATTGAAATTACTTGTCACATGAATAATTGCTATTATTTTCCATCCATCATCTAAACCGCTTATCCTTCTGGGTCGCGGTGCTATTATTTTATTTAATAAAAATAATAAACAGTGTAGATATTGTAAGATCTTTTATTTTTTTGGCAAACAACAAGATTTATTAAAAAGAAAAGAGTTATTAAATGATCAGTAAAATACAGTTGCTGTCCAAAAACAACTCCATATGTCCATAATGGTAACTTTACAGGAAAAAGCAAAAACATGATTTATTTTAATGTACGTTAATGTGAAGAGATTTTACTCTCAGTAATTTTGGAGCATTTTTATTGGTTTCCGTTGATCATGAACTTTTCACACGATGTATTATGCTCAGATGATGTAGAAAAATAAAAATCTAGCAAAAAGGACACACTTTTATTTGGACATAAACAATATGTTTGTAGCTAATTCCTTGATAAGTTATATGCACTTTTAAAATACAGTTAATTCTGGATGTTATAGTTTTCTCAGTCATCTTCGTTAAAAGCTTTCTACAAATTATTTGAGTTGTAGCATCATATTATCATTATTTTTAATGCATGTACCCAGCAACAAAATTGGTTTTATTTTCATGAAAGCAATGATTCCAAACATTTGAATGGTTTTGAATCTGTCCAACTAACATGCACAAAGGGCAGTTTTCTCACATACTGATTAAGCTTAAGCTTTAAACTATGAAGATTTTAAATGGTGAATCAGCGTGTACAGGGACTGATCAGGGTCTCATGAAGCCTCATGAAGTGTCTTTCGAGTGCCCCCCGTTCTTTTTCCTTTTCTTTCTTTTCTCTTGTAACCACTGCTATTCCAGCACTTGTGATCCGTTATCGTTTCTGTTCTGCATATTAAAACACGTCACTAGGTCACACGCTTGAAAATGCCGGCGACCTGACACAGAGCCTCTAATTGGATACCGTTTTTGGACACATTTTGATTTCATTGGCCCTCTGCAAATTATCTTTATTTTTTCATTTATTCAGCATTTTGATGTATATTCAAGGGCTATGTATTGATTTATTTCATGCATTTAGCCTTTGGCACATAATCAAGGGCTATTCATTCATCTATTTTTTACATCTGTGGTGGATTGTCCTGAGTGGTAGATTGTCCTGATTGCTTTGGAGGCCCCCCCGAGGCTCTTGGCAGCCAGAAGCCCCTGGGCACTGGCCCTGCTGGCCCAGTCAATAATCCATCCCCGGCCATGTAGTCCAAGACTAAGCATAATTTGTGTCTGGGAAAAACGTTCCTAAGGCCACAACTCTAAATGGCTTTCATCACTTTGAGAGAAACAGTGGTGAGCTGACTGTGTGGTTCTCAAGGAAGAAAACTTGTTTCATGTCTGCCTGTGTGGACTGAATAAAGCCTTGACTCATCATATTTTTGGTGTCTACAAAACAAGAAGATGAAATGTGTTGTTTTGGCGTAATCACACAGGGGTAGACAGCAGATGATTTTGCTCTCTTGTTAATGTTGTGGGTTTCTGTGTGTGTGTTTGCCCGCAGAGAGTGTTTATTTGGGACCTGGACGAAACCATCATCATTTTCCACTCACTCCTCACTGGGTCTTTTTCCACACGCTTCGGCAAGGTAAAAACCTGTTCTCTTACTTTAGCTCTGAGTAATGGAATGTCCCCTCCAACCCTCTTTCAGTTATCTGACACTAATTAGTTGTTTTGTTGTACTGCACAGTAGTACGCATTGTACTATAGATTTCTTTAATGCGCAGTAATTATGTGTGAGTAATGCTTCAACAGTCACTCATTTCTGTCATAACATAATCTCATTACTCCAATTTTTCTTTTTTTCTTTTTAACACAATATAAAAACATAGGCTGGTGGTTGCATTGTGTGAACATTAGATGAACGGACCTTGTAACACTAACATACAGTGGGGTTCAAATTTCTGAGACCACTAGGGAACTGGCTTCTATTGCATTTTTTCTAATTTAGTACAGAGTTTTTCATTACACAGTAGAATCTTTGAAATATTTACATGAATTTTTGGAATTTTTTATTTGTATTTATTTTGATGACTGTGCACAGAGCAAAAAACCTCTGATGAGTAGATCAGAACCATCTGAGCTGGTCCAAAGGCCTTAACATGGTCAGTGTCACAAATTTGCTTACATTTGCATAGTGACCTAGAAATAGAGCAGAGGCTTGAATATTTCTTCTTAATTTTGTTATAACTTTTCTTTAAATTTTTTCTAAATTCTTAACACTTTCTGTTTTAGGTTTAAATCAATAAGGTTAAGAACATTTCCTATGTCATATAAAGTTACCATGTCAGAGATATGAGCTTTTTTTTTACCAAAATAACACATCGTGGATACAGATCATAACCTCTCATGACGATCTGCACTCTGTTTCACAATCTGATTTGACTTATGCTGTTTGATTGACAGATCTTAAACTTATACATATTGCTGAAGCATCTAAAAAAGGAACTGTAGTTTATTTATTTATTTTTTTTTTCCCTTCTAGTTCATGGTGTGTTTTGAGTTCCCATGATCCCTAGAGTATTGGACACAAAAGGGAGTTCATCCATTTTAGGAGTTACCGTGACTAACGTGGCTAATTTCAGCTCCAAAAATCATGCTCTGCAGTTGCACCATCTTTCCAACATATACCTCTGCAAAGAATGTACCAAAGATATTGGTCAAAGGAAAAAGCTGTAATTGAGAACCTACAGTCTGAACTATACATGAACAGGTTTGATACGTCTAATGACAAAGCTGCTTACTGCCAAGTGGAGCTCTGTGTTTGTTTAAGCTCAGATTTTATTTCTGGATCTCATTTTTAATATGCAGTTCATTTCTAGTCTGATGTCTTTAACTTCTTCCCATGACAATTCAAGGTCCTAAAGGCCATCACCGTAAACAACTGTTTGGCCCGCGCTTGGCCTCAGGCGAGGCCAAAGGTGCAGAGCCGAAAACCAATCTGAGTGTTGAAAGATGCTCATTTTTAATGTGTTTTTGAAGCTGAGGTGAACTGTAGAGCACGACAGGATTTTTACTCTCTCATTAGAGCCCTTCTGGCATCTCATTCATCATCAAGCAGCACGTATGGTCTTTTATCGTGTGAATTTTTGCCGCAGGCCAACTCTTTTCTTTTTTTTCCTACATCAAGCTGAAAAAAACAGTGTACCCTGGTTGTTAGCTTAACATCAAGCTCAGCTGAGCCTTTTTCTTTCATTTTTTTTTTAAATTCATTAAAATCCTCTGTGAAATCTTTCTCAGCTGTAATTATGATTCAGGGCATCTTTATTAAACAGTCAGTACAACTGCCTGTTGTAAAGTAAGGCAATTTTAGCAGTAGATTGTGGGTAATTATTCTAATTAAAGGAAGAACTACCTCTTCCACACCCCCAACCCAACCGGAATCCCCTCACCCACACCCCCCTCACTTGAACCTTGCGTGGGTGGAGAGGAAGGGATGGATCCTGCCTCTTTAAGCTAATCTGACACTTACCTCTGGCTGACACCTGTAGCTTGATTAACTGCCAAACGTAAAGCTCCAGCTAGCTACCTGCCCTGGCCTGGTACCAAGCTTCATAATTACTCAGCTAGTGTCAGCATGCACCCTGACCCATACTGTGAAATTTATGTTAGCAGCTGTATGTACTGAGGTAGGGGGGCTATGTGAATGTGTGTGATAGAGAGAGAGAGAGAGAAAGAACAAAAGCAAGGGACTTTAGTGACAAATTGGTACTTCTGAATGATTGACGTGAATGCAGTCAGGCTGGTGGAAAGACAAAAAAACGGCTCTGCCATAAACACGTTGCTGCACACGCACAGAACAAAATTATTAACTGTCATTTGTCTTCATGAATAAATTCGTTATGACAGCTGGAGCTGTAGTATTACAATATAATATGCTTCCTTCGTCATGTTCCAGGATTCTGCCAAAGCTGTGTCTTTGGGGCTGTGGATGGAGGAGATGATCTTCAACTTGGCAGACTCACGACTCTTCTTCAATGACCTGGAGGTGAGCAAAGCACAAACACTTTATTTTTTCAGTCGTAGCAAAATAGTAGTGTTCTTAAAGGGAAATTCCACCAATATTTCAAAATTTCTGCATAATTAAATTGTTAAGACTTAAAGTCATTCAGAGTGGTTTAATGAGAAATGCACCATTCTTGCAGACTCAGAATCGTTCACAATGGTGGTGACAGAAACTGGCATCTGAAGAGTTTAATGCCACCAAAAGCTACCTCAGAAAGTAATTACATGAAATGGTTATACATTGCCTGATACCTGAGACACTGTTTTACAGTAGTTTTCAGGTACGCTTTTGGTTTAAAACATATTTCCAAAATCCATTTATGGCACAGAAGAGAAGTCTAAATATGGAAACTTATTTTTTTCAGATTTACCGCGATTTTATCAACATTACATATAAAAACTGAGAAGATGTGTCTACTCTGGTCATTTGGTAGTAAATAAAATGGCTGTATTTGCATTGTAGCCTTTGCAACCCCTGGTTCCCATCACCACCACTGTAAATAAATCTGTAAAAGTCTGTAAACTCTCTACAGTGCACCATTTCACATCAAACCACTCTGAATGACTGTTTACATTTCAGTGATTAAATTATGCGAAAAATATAACAAGTCAGTGAAATTCATCTTTAATTTTAAACTTTAAACTGTATGTCAGTGTAAAAATGTTGTCCAGATTAATAACAATTTCTGTTGATCCATTTGTCATGAAATGTGGATACTATACAAAGGACAAATTCTGAAAAGTTGTGTAAAAATGAAAAACTGAAAAAATGTATTGGTATTTTGTAGTAAGAGCAGAAAAAGCGAGATGGACAACATATTATAATCATGAAATTCTGTTGTCTTGCTACACATTATGTGATGCAGTACTCACTGTATAAATGTTGTGATTTTATATTTACATATTAAAGTACTTATTTTAATTTTTAAAAAATTCTACACATTGGCCAGAGTGAACCTTTTGCACTGTGGGGTCTTGCTCTTTGCGCCCTTTTTTATCTTTTTATTCCTCTTTCTTCTGCCTTGGTCTGACAAAGAAGGGGATTAAATTCTGGAGGGGGTGCAAAACTTTGAGGTGTTAATTACGGGTGTGTGGCCATCTCTGAAAGGAAAATTTGTCCTGGGGAGGAACAGCGGCTCAAAGTGGAGTGGGGGGTGGGGTAGAGAGCACACAATTATTTCTTCAACAGGTTTTAATGACACTTCTGCCTCCCGGTTTTTCTTTCTTTTTTTCTGGTTTGTCCCTGTAATCGTCCTCATTTTTTCACTATTCAAACTTCTTGACTGATTTATCTAATCTCCACTGACCCTTGTCAGCCTGGGAATGGAGAGATGCCATGGGCGAAATTGCTGCTAGATAATTATTGTTTTATTTTGTATTATATCTGTCAGTTATTTTGATGATTCATTGAGTAATCAGAGTTTTTAAAAGAAGCCAAACCAGTAAAAGTGATGTCTATCTCACTTTTTCTTCTCTTACTACAAAATACTGTTTCATTTTTTTCCATTTTTCATGTTACAAAAATGACAAACCATACCTAGCTTTTTAAAAATACTTTACTAAAAAAGATAAATGAAAAAAGCCTTTACAAAGCATCATTAAAGGGACCATATCATGGAAAACTAACTTGTCCTTGCTTTTCGATGTAGTACGTAAACAGTGTTAATACTTCAAAACATTCTGTTCACTCCTCAGTCCATACAGTCCATATATGGAAACCAAGCCACAAAAACAGCTAATTTTGAATTAATTTTTTAATTGTTAAAAAAGCATTTCCACCAATTCAACCACCCACCATTCATTTGTTTAATTTTCAGTCAAAACAGCCCAGGAAAAAAGAGAAAACATCCATTTAACAGAAAATTGCAGATAAATTACACAAAATTACACCTTCAGAGTTCAGTCTTAGAAATTAGGGAGGATTTTCTGCCTCTCACAATCCAAGGAATCTCAAACACATGCAGTGTTGCATGATGTTTAATTCTGGACTCTGCGGTGGCCCGCTCCATTTTTTTAAGCATCACCAACAGTTTTTCACTTATTTTCTTATGCGAGTGGATTGTGTTATATCTAATCTTCTCAGAAGTACCTCCAGAAATATGAATAACTTATACTTAATGGCTGTTTTGCCTGGAAATTAAATAAATGAAGAGTGGTCTCTAACATTTGAGTAGTGTAAAAAGTGTATAAAAGTAGTGTAAAAAGCATATAAAAGCAACTACATTTGAGTAGTCTAAAAAAAGAAAGGACAACGCAAGATATCGGCCCTTTAAAGGATTATGAAAGCGTATTACAAAGAAGAAGCACAATTCTTCTGTCCACATCTGGCATTATTGTTGTGACTGCATGACTGACGATCTTAGCAAACAGGGTCTTGTGCTGCGAGTTTCAGGAGTGTGAGAGGAGGTCTGCTGAGATATGAGCGCATTATGAGGTAGCGTCGGGCCCTCAGACCCAACTGAAATACGAGAGCAGCTGCAGAGAGAGAGAGAGAGAGTTCTGTGTATGTTTCTGAGAGAGAAAGAAAGAAGGATAAAGAGGGAGAAAGATGGGAAAAGCAGAAATGAAGTCTAGTTTGAAATGTTGAGAAAAGGTTCCCCTGTTTGCTAAATACTGTAATATGGTAACCTATACTGTCTAAACATGAAGTGACTGGCTCTTGTAAGACTGTGTATTCGGAATATTGTTCATGTGGATGTTTTACCATACGATGTCACTAGTATCGTTAGTCATTTACACCAAATTTTCTCCTGGAATACAACACAGCAGTTACTGCTTGTTGGCAGTTTTGTGTGCAAAGCTGGTCAAAAGTACAGCTAATCTGCTTTCGCTATTAAAACAGGTTTAGGAGGTGTGTTGCCATCCTCTTCAGGAAGTTTTTATTTCTTTCTTTTTCTCAAGTATTACAGGCGCCTGAATGTCTTGGGTCTTAGCAGCTTATTTCCGCCTTTCAGTTGTCATTTTTTTTTTTTTAATATTCCTCCCTCACTCTATCGTTCCCTGAGGCTCAGTAGAAGGTGAACCTGCCTGTACACAGTACATCACTCTGCCTGGCTGAAACACATCTAGCTCTCTAACATATCTGCTTTCCTTTAATTTCACAGGAATGTGACCAAGTTCATATCGATGATGTGGCCTCAGATGACAATGGGCAGGACTTGAGGTATGGTAGGAGTTCCCCTCATAACGCTGGTATAGTCTCTCAGGGAGACTGCTGTGGCATGTACAAGGGATTCCAATAAAGTGAACTATATGCCTCATAAAATGGCGTTCTCTTTTTACCCCACTGCATACCATGGCCATATTAGGAATGAATACCTATTGTTTTTAGCATACTTAGGAAGCAGTCCTGTTTTGCTGATGTTTAAGATCTGTATCAACCCTTTGTCAACAACAAAAGCAGCTGTTTCTGTGGCTTAATCTACACCTCTCCATTAATGTGACATCTCCATGCTGTTGTTGCGTTCATGTAGATATAAAAAAGAATGTGATCTAACAAACTTAAACCATGTGTCAGTCCTCAGTCCCAGTCTTCACGAGTGTTACAAGATGAAAAACACTGATCTCTGCAGAGCTTTGGCCCTGAAGGAGTTTGACATGGATCAAGCCAAAACATGAACACAAATAAACTTCACACTTCAGTCTTCATATATTGTTACTGTCTTAATGTCTTGACAGTGATACATTCAGAGACCTGTTTAACTTGTTTAAATCTGCTGCCAGAGGGGTTGCAGTGAGCGCGTGTCTACGTTCAGCATGGTAAAATGCTTTCTATGTGCTGCCATGTTTGATGCACAAAGCTTCCTTTATTCTTGGATGTTCTGAGCGAGCATTCAAAGCTCATTCATTTTCAGCTTGATCACGTTCTTTACACGTCAAATAAATGCAAACACAATATTGAGAAGTCGTGTTATTAAAGGAGAAGAGTAGACAGAAATAGACATTCACACTGAGATTTTTCGAGACCAAAAAAACACAACTTGAAAATGAACACACACACATATTGATGCTGTCTTTCACATCAAATCCGAAACCGACGGACTGTAATCCTGCTTAACATTTTTAATCGACCTGGATCTGCATTCTGTACTGCATGGATTGAATTAAAAATGAGGCTGACCAATCAGAGCTCTGTTGTCATGGCTGAAGGCCAAGCGATTGTGTATAACGATGGCAGCAGAATAGCTCATATTCTATGTGGCAGAGCACAAATGCTTATACAACAGCCCAAAAAGGTATCAGTCTTGGCGTGATGTTTCCACTATGTTAAAAATCGCAATTGTATTTTCTTTTGAAAAAAATAAAACTCAGTGTGAATAGGCCTGTACTTTTTTGGGCAGAATTTAATTAATTAAAGGAAACAAAGATTTTTGAATATACTGCCAGCAAAATGTTAGTTTTGATAATCAGATTTCTTTGTTCAATGTTAACAAAAGTTGTGTACTAAATCCACAATAGTTTTTGAAGCCATTTTGTATGTTTAAATTCCTTTTAGAGGCATTAAGGCTTCATAGCAATCACTGTATTCTCTATATAATCACTACATCTTAAACCAATACGAAGGATTTTGCAGTTAGATCATGTAACTCTTTTCTTAGACTGACAGATGTTCTCTAAGGAAAATATTACAGCTCTTAAGAATGATGCCAGTGTTATGTAACAGCTCTTTACCCATGTGAACAATAAATCAAGTAGTAGGATAACGACTGTATTGTTGTAAAATAACAGTGCACTATTAATAAGGCTCTTGCTCACAACCCTGTCACATGTGTATTTGCTTGTCTGTGCAGCACTTATAACTTTGGAACAGATGGCTTCCAGAGTCCAGCAGGTGGAGGTGCTCTGTGCCTAGGCTCAGGGGTTCATGGTGGCGTTGACTGGATGAGGAAACTAGCCTTCCGCTACAGACGAGTAAAAGAGATTTACAATACTTTCAAGAACAATGTAGGAGGTGAGTGAACTGCAGAACGCTAAATGCAGAAAAGAATTAATAATATTTCAAATTTCAGCAGTGTTTTATTTCATTGTTTATGTTTTGAACTTAATTTTATATGGTCTTGTGATACACTCAGATGGTTCTTATCAACTCGAATCGTTAGTAACAAGTGTTTGCGTTCGGGTGGACATCAGAAACTAGTAAATTTATCATGTAAACAATATGTATCCACTGACATGGACCAATGACATTACTTACTGTGAATAATAAAATAAGATTTTTTTTTGGTTGCATTCTAATAAGGCCTGTCTATTCACTACAAGTAAGAATAATGTTATCATCATTTACAAACATTACATGATGCATTGATTAAAGTCCTGTAGTTAGTTGTTCAAGTGCAACTTCCTTCATGAGCTCTTGACTTGAAAATACACTAAGACCATCTGAAGGCACAATTAGAAGGGCTTTCTAAACTTGGCTTACGTGTGCTTTGATTGGCAGGTTTGTTGGGCAGTCCAAAGCGGGACGAGTGGCTCCAGCTGAGGAGGGAAATGGAGGTGCTAACAGACCTGTGGCTCACACATGCTCTAAAGGCTCTAGCTCTCATTAACTCCAGGTGAGAAGTACTCACAGTAAACACAGAGGATGTAATGAATGAACTAATATTTTCAAGAATTTGAAAGGCACCATAAAAGAAACTTCATGCAGATTTAACAGAACATATTATTTGTTAAACATCATTAGTTCACTGGCACCTTAAACATCACTAATAAGAAGATAAAATTAGCTATTATACAACAGTTATTTCAGGCCACACAAGCTGATTGGTTGAGAAGCATTCTAACCGTCGCCATAACATCACGGTTAGAATGCTTCTCAACCAGCTTGCATGGCCGGAACGGGTTTTTCACAAACACTGTATCACTCCACTGAGACGCCGTTGCTAAGCAACGACTTTGACAGCTGTAGGAGACGCTCAAGCCATTTGAAAGTTTTTACTTCTTACTTCTTACTTTGCCACAAACCGAAAACTGACACTTTTAAGATCACATTTGACTGACAGCCGATTTGGTCAGACTCTGATGATGAGACTACACTAAATTCCCAAACTGTCAGTTGGTCTGTGTGAGGAGCTGGAGAACGAAGTGCCGGCTGTGCAGCGAGTAAGCGGAGCTCGTTACTCTGACATAGCAACAAGCTGCTTCTTAAGGAACTATAATTTGGCGGGAGGAATTGCTGACATTAAAACATATTAAATGCCACGTTCACGGCCCAATTTATTTATTTATTTCTTACTTTATTTATTTAACTGTTGTATAAAAGCGATAGAACACTCGAGGTCATGTGTTATCGCGAATAACATCACAGCTGTGATGATCTACGGCGACCAAATCACAGTTGTGATGTTATTTTGCGATAACACACTCCCTCTCGTGTTCTATTGCTTAATTAATTACCCATAATTAGGCTACCGGTCATTCATCATGTTATTTAGGTCAAACTATGCCTTTATTATTCTGAATAAAACTGATGTGTAAAAGTGTGAAAAAAAGGAGTGGTGTGGATTACTGTCATGTCCCTGTTCATCAATTCAAATCATGATTTCTCACCTAATGTTAACATTTTGTAATGATGGAAACTAATAGTTGAACTAATGAAAGCTTTTGCCTTCGTCAGACCAAACTGTGTGAATGTGATGGTCACCACCACTCAGCTTATCCCAGCTCTGTCCAAAGTGCTGCTTTATGGTCTTGGAGGAGCATTTCCCATCGAGAACATTTACAGTGCCACCAAAACTGGTATGTACCTCCTAGTTAGACTTACAGAGAAGACCAGATTTGACCAATTCAGACTCGAATGGTAACCAGAGCGTTTGCTGTGTGTGATTGTGCTAGGTAAGGAGAGCTGTTTCGAACGAATAGCTCAGAGGTTCGGCAGGCGAGCAGTGTACGTCGTCATTGGAGACGGAGTGGAGGAGGAGACTGTGGCAAAGAAGGTGAGACTGAGGAAGACTGATTTAATGATCAGTGCCTTAATGATTATACACTGCCATTAAAAAGTTTGAAATTACTCACCACATTTTTTTTATTTTACTGTATATAGACAAAAATTATAACCTATTCAGTATGTGTTTAACTATTACAAACCATGCACCGCATTTTTAGGTGTTCAATTCAATGTTTTGGGAATTCTATGAACAAGACATTAAATGATGAGTAATATACTGCATTTAACTTTTTACAATTTATCTGCCTTGAGAAAAGATTTGCGCATTTGAAATATGATGAATTATGGATATAAATTTTATTATAACTTAGTTTTGAATGTTATACAGATTTTTCTGTCATTGTTAAATCTTCCACAGCTCTGTTTATTTACAGCTTCCTATTGTCCTGCTAATTATTTGTAATTAAAACCTGTGAAGTTGCACAGCACTCCACAGTGGTATTTTCCAAATTGCACAATATTGTGAACTATTTAGGGAGTTTGTTTTAAGGGCTTAATGTGGAATTTTGTTAAATCTGTTTAGTTGTATCATGTGGTGGAAAAATGGGAAATGGAGTATTTCAGAACTTTTCATTAAAGTGCACAGAAGTCATTTAGAGTTCATCAACGTTTGTACTATTGCATCAGCATTAACACTCCTAATTCCTTTCAGAAAAACATGCCTTTCTGGAGGGTAACATGCAGGGCAGACCTGGAGGCACTGAGTCATGCACTAGAGCTGGACTACCTCTAGAGGGCAGAATCTGCCCTACATCACTTCGCCTTGTTGCCTCTCGCTGTTCATTAGACACAGGCGGTCAACAGTAATCACATGGCCAAGCCAGGAACTACAGGACCAATCAGCAGGGAGCTGCAAACTTACTGGAAATGTGCTTGTTTCAACTCACTCCAAGAAAAGCGTTTTTTTATTTTATTTTTTCTTCATCTGTGACAAGCCTCAGTTTTACACAATGGAGCATTGCACTGAAGACAGCGGCCCATCAAAGACCAGAGTGCTTTGAAAGACTGAAGGGTTTCAGTTGACAAAAGAGACATTAAAGTGCATTAAAGACAGATTTATATGCATCATTTGTGATGAGGAAAACATTTAGAATTTCGGGGTTTAAAGTATGCAAATATTTATGCTTGTCTTTTTTTCTTCTTCTATGAATTGACCAAAAGCTACATTGTTTACTTTAGATGAGACCTAGCTCAGAGAGTAGGGTTACCAAATTTGTTGTGAGGAAAAAAGGTCTTTTTTCTCTAAGTTCTGTTAAAAGTAGTGTATCAGACTTCTTAAACTGTGAAATCCAGTGATAGCTTTTAGACAAATAAAGCACAATTGGGGGAACTAGCTTTATGATTTGAAATCAGTTGAGAAATGCATAGATCTAACACTTTTAGTCTCTGTGTGTGTTTTTTAATTGATTGTTTCTGTCAGTAATGCAATAATTTGTTTAATGATCCAAATTTTGCTCCATTCATTCAGCTGAGCTTAAGAAACTTTAAGGTTTATGGAAATGTGCGATATACCACTTCAAGATGTTCTATTAAATACGGAACACATGCTGAGTTAAAAGTACTGTAAACTTTTTAATAACACACCAAAGTTCTTGAGAGAGAACGTGTTATGACTAACCCTGAAAATAGCCAAAGTATTGAAGCTAAATCCATTGCTAGAGGTGACAATCATCTACGTAACTTATGAATTTTTCTTTCTTGTCTTTTTTCGGTGAGGTGATTTCTTCAGCACTAGACAATATCTCCTACATTTCTCTCCGATACGTGCCTGGGCCAAGGTGATCTGTATTATTTGTTACTGGATGTATATTTGATTTCTCGTTTCTTTGTATTAGCTTTACTGAAATTTATATATGTGTATCAATCTTGTATGGAAACTGTATGGTTGTCTTTTGGCTTGCATGTGCCTATTACACTGCCTGTCCACCTAGCTATAATTTGTATATAAGGTTTTATTGTTGATCTGTTTCTATGGGCTATTATGTTAGAAAAATAAAGATAAATTAATTGCCCCTGTCTATTAATTGTCATGATTTTCTTGTAGCTATTATCTATGATTTTTGGGATATTTTTACTACGCACAGAGAAGGAATGTTGTTTTCTGTTGTCCATTTCCTGTCATTTTCATCTGTTTGATTTGAGTTAGGCAGGCTAAATTTGGGGTTGGTGATGTCAGATCTGCCAAAGCACCAATCAGAGTTAGCAGTATGTGTACGTCAGTATGTGTATTCATTTGGGGGAGGGGCTTATTATTGCTAGTTCGCTTTCAGACACAAGAATTCCATCCCAACCGTGGAGCGATTGCACAATTCCATACGTCACTATTCTGCGCGCAAGTTTCCACACACAGCACTGGAAGCAGATAGTTTCCACACATGCAGCGGATCACGCTAGAGTTCGCTGAATGCGAACCCCAGACCACCGATTTCAGGAGGCCAGTGATTGGTATATCTCTGATATGGTCCAGGGCTTGAAATATGGTGAACATGGTCCCAGGCTCGAAAACAGCTTTCACACTTGACCCAACTTACCAAACTCACAAAGTAAGCAGTCCAGGGTCTGGAAAATAACTACTGTGAAAATGTCCTTACACCATTGTTTGTAGCATAGCCAGATGCTTCTTCTCATTTGTAGTAGCCACCTGATAGAGAATCCTACTATAAGTAATTAACTTCATTTCTCAGATTGTGATAGCTAGCGGTCCACCTTAACTGTAGGAATAAAACAATGTGTTAGTTTAGTATTACGTTAGCTACACCCCAACAAGGCTCACAGTGTTTCTCTGCAATTGTACTTTACAGGTGTGCAATGTGTGAAAGACCCCCTGATATTCAGGGGGGGTCCCATGTTAGGAGGCTACTCCAGCATTGGCTGGCTGCTAACTCACTCACTCACTCACTCACTCACTAACTCAAAGTGTTTGATTTAACAGTTCTTCTTTTGGAAATGCTGTTTTCTAGTTTGGTAATGTGATCTTCCATACATTAATCAAGAACTTACACATCTACAGGTTTTCAGATTTACAAATACATTCCAGCACATAGTAAAGTTTTTCAGAATGCCAAGCTATGAAGGATCAACTGTGTGAATGAATGTGCTACAGCGCCACCCTGTGGCAGAGCAGCGCTGCATCTATAGTTAGTTAAGAATACCAAAGACAGAAGCTCACCCTGTTATGGATGAAGCAGCTAAACAATTACCTTCCCCTGAATTTGTATTTGAGCGTTGGACAGCATAACATCAGAATAAGCTTATTTTCAGGGACCCCTTAAATTTTTGACTGTGAGACATTCAGGGATCCAAGATCCCCCTGTATATCACACTTTACAGGTGTGTTGCACAACAGAGCACAGGAGAAATTTCTCCACCCTGTCTGCAAAGGTGACTGTGCCAACTAATAGCAGGGGCTCAGTGTGACCTCAGTTTCAGAAGCACCGTCCAACAGTTAGCTAGCTAGCTGAAGGTTAGGGACATAGCATTAGTGCTGATTAGTGCAAATATAGAACACGATACGTCTGTGATCGATCCATAATAAAATGAAAGCCTGATATTAGCTGCAAACTAATTAGATCTCTAAAATGACCATGAAACACTTTTTACTCTTTAGAAAGCAGCGGAGAAGAGCAAACTGGTCTTTCTGAGGAGGGGCTCAAATGTAGGGCAGGGGTCGGCAAACCAAATGTTAAGAAAAGGCATTTTGTCGATTTTCAACAAAAATCTAACCACCTTGGGAGTCTCAACATTTCACGTCCATTTTATTGAAGCAATGTTTCACCATCTTGACTGTAAAAATGTCTCAGTATGTGCTGATGTCCTAGTATTGCTAAGAAGTATAATATAAATGAAAATCCAGGCTTACTTTGCTCTCCTTTAAGCTTTAGCTCAGCTGTAGCCGCTTTTCTTGCATCTCCCACAGGAAACTTTTACTCAAGATTAGAAGGTTCTTGTAAAATGTCTCTTAACGTTTGAAATTTTATGAGGCTGAAATCAGCTTCCCATTCACCAGCTTCTTGTTTGAATTTTCCCACTCCACCTTAGATGGTGCAGGAGGTGCCAGAATGCAGCTAACTATGTAGCTAACTGTTGCACCATTTCCATTTACCAAGGTGGAATGTGAAAATTCAAAAAGACTTCAGTCTCATGACTTTTTAGTGTTTGACAGTTTCCCGTTGCAGATTAAACGTATCAGGAAACCAGCTAACTATTATAAATGCAAATCAGTCCATTCGTCTCCAAATCGTCGATGTTCGTCTTAAACCTTTCTCTTTGCCTTTTTGTTAGCTACTAGCTACTAGGCAAGACTGTCGTCTGTGTTGCTATGGTGACCAGCAGTCTGCGCACCAGCCTTCAGGGTTAAAGGGTGAATATGCAGTTATATATTAACTCCAACGTTTAAGACTGTTTATTGTTAAAACCATGTTAGAATGATCAGCAGAGCTTTATTTTACTGCAAACGAGGATTATTTTATTTTTACCTAAAAATCTAATTCTGCATGTAGCTCCAGAGCCGTGTGTTGCCGACCCCTGATGTAGGGTAACACTTGCCTGCTGCATGTGCCATCTCTAACATCACGGTCAGTGTCACTCACCACTGGTGCTGGCTTATTTACACCACTGTCAAATTTTATGTGATCTGACATATAGTTATACAGTTCTGAGCAGGCATCATTGAATCGTCTACTATTAAATTATATTCATTTATATACATTTCTTAAATATAACACAGATAAACACTGTTTTTGTGGCATATCTTTACTGTAAGTATAAAATCTTAAACCATGTTGCCACAGGATTTAGGAGCAGGAATACTCTCGTAAAACTGGCTGCAACTTGTTCAGTCAGATCCAATGCAATCACAGCAAATGGAAGCTGCTCCCTCCGCTACTGGCATCAGCAAAATTAACAAGGAAAGCACTGATTCAAACTTAAAATGTGCCCCGAATCTGTTAGCAGTGGTGCTCAGGAAGGGTGTCACTCCAAAAAAAACATAAGATGCAATCATTTTACTCATTTTTCTAAGTGTGTGAATTACTCACTCATCTGAAAAGCCCCCGGTAGTGAAGTGAGGAAGGGAAAGGAATGTCTGTAGATCTGAAAGAAGCACAGCTTTTGTCTTTACTTACTAACATGTACAGGTGATTTCATCCTCATGCTGCATCAATGTGCATTCCTTCTCTCATAGGGTGCCATCTAATGGTGAAACAGAATAGTGAAGGTAAATCAAGACAAACAAAGAAAAAGAGACAACAACAATCCAGAAAGACATTATCCAGGAAAAATATGTAAAGATCTCATTACCGCTGCAATAGTAACATTGCTTGATTAAAAGCTGACAGAATATGGGGTGGTTCCCTCAATGGTACATCTCATTACCTTTAGTCAGGGAACATAATTGTACCATAATCCACTAAAATAATATTTTCTAAGTTGTGTTGACTCCACACACCCCGTCTCGTCTCCAGGCTTTTAATTTACTGTTCTGTTTTGAAACAAGTACAGATATGTACTTTTCACCTGGAAAAACGTGTTTAAGGTACACAGTTGGACCTTAAAACCACTGTTGTACCTTTGAGGGAACATTTACATTGTTTGTACTGTGACGAACGAAAAATGTACCTGCACAGAACCTTTATTTCTAACAGTGTAGAGGGACACTCCGGCCAAAATAAAAAAAGCCATTGGAATATCTGTTGTAAACATGCCTATGCCCCTCTCACAGCAGTGCTGCAGTAGTGTCTCAAGTGAGATTTCCTGCTGCCTGTTTCAATACCGGTTTTACCAAACCCTCATCCGCTTGGCCTCCTCATTTTCCCATGGGGGAATCCCCAGTGCTGTTCCATTACTTTATTATCTTGAGTGAAGCTTATTCGAGGAGCCCTCAGATGGGTGAAGAACTGAGGGAATGCAAATGTTGACCAGAAATCACTGCACTCCCATGCATTTCCCTTCTCAAATGCAAAGGCGATGCAGCTAACTTCAAAAAGGCCCTACACTGCTGTAAAACAAAGCTTCAGCCAGACAAAACAATTATTTACTAATTTACTAAATTAATGTTTAGAATTCTCAAAAAATAAATAAAGTTTTGCATTGCAGAGTTTGCATGGCAAGCCAGTTAGCTGACTGAATCTAACCTAGCAGAGGGCGAGTGCACTCTGATTTCATAATTTGGTCCTCATTGTCCACTCCTCTCCTGCTGGAAATGGCCATATATGTAACATCAGTGTAACCCACCAATCCATTTCTGATGATGTATCTTGAAGGTGGATTATATATTGATAACTATGAAGACTACAAGTGCTTAAGGTGGAGACTTGGGGAATGGAGTGTTTGTTCTTTGTTGTTTTTTTTTTTTGGGGGGGGCGGGTGTTGTTTGGCTAGTTCTTCAATAGAACTACTCCTTTAACCCTTTAATGTTCTCACCAAGAAGAAAGTAATGTTTTTTTTATTTTGTATTTTTTAATTATTTGGGGCAATAATAAAAACAATTGGTGTTTTTTTGTTTTGTTTTTTTGACCCCACAGTTTTTAAAATATTCACGTCTACCAAACGGTCGAGATGGCACTTTGTGGCATGTATAATGACTCAAAATGTGCTCTACCATATGGTTGATCAGAACATTAAAGAAAAAGCTTTGATGATCAGTTGAAGTGTGTGCTATATTATTAGTTCCAGCTAGCAGATGTGCAGATGTATCAGTAGAACAGCATTTCTCAAACCTTTTGAGTGATGATCTTCCAAAGAGGTGTTTTGGGGTTGGTGACCCAAAACTGTCACCACAGGTCTTCACATTTCTCTACAGGGCAGACACGAGCATTAGCTATGGGAGAACAGCTCTGCAGTCTGCTTCTGTTGTAAACTCTTGCTACAGTGCTAGCTCTGCTCCTACTCATAGTATGTAGGCTTTATTACCCAAAACAGCTACCGAACGTATGGATGAAAATCCGTCAGTTGTCATTCTGAACAAAGCAATATGTGTGCTTTTTTTCACGTTTTGTAGTGTAGTTAGCTAAT